CGCGCGGCTGGTCCGGCTAAGGGTCTGAATTCGTTTGGAACCTCTGTTGGATCGTCTGTGCGAGCTGTCTATGTGACGTTTCCGGGTCGCCCGTGGCTTGTCCGGCCATAGAGCGGTTTGGGGGCGTTACAAAGCAACGATGCACTGTTAGGGAAGCAAGTCTGGAGAATCATGCAAAGGCCACAAGATTTAATGCCAAGAATAATCAAAGGAAAATATTTTCCGGACTCAAACGTCCTTAATGCAACGAGAAGGAAAAAATAATCTTTTTTCTAGCGTTCTTTAATTCATGGCCGTGATCTGATGAAGCAAGGAATGAGATTCCTTATTGAAAATGGCAAAGCAATTGATGCCTGGGCAGACCCGTGGCTACCAACATCGCCCCCAAGAGCTCCAAGACCACGAGGAACAGTTTCTCGAACAAATCTTAATGAGTGGATCAAAAGTTCTCCAACATAATGGGACAGAGAAATGATACAAAGGCTTGTGATACCGGAAGACGTAGAAGAGATTATAAAGCTTCGACTATGTAACCATCAGACTCATGATCTTCTTGGATGGCTCTATACCAAAGATGGGATTTATTCGGTGAAATCCGCATACTATCTTGCCACTCAATTACATGGACTCCAACAACCACCAATCCCCGGAGATCTTACACTGAAAAAGAAGGTATGGCGGTTGAAAACAGCACCAAAAATCCAGCATTTTTTGTGGAAATTGTTATCAAAGATCCTACCAACTGGAGAGAACCTAAGAAGGCGACATATCACAAATAACTCCTTATGCAAATGTTGTTATCAAGAACAAGAAAGTGCAGATCATTTATTTTTCAGGTGCTACTATGCTCAAGCAATGTGGCGAGCTTCGGGCTTACCTTTACCAGTCCTTCTCAACACAAATGCCACGCTAGAAGAAAAATTGGAAGGAATTTTTCAGTGCAACTTGGATCAAAACCTCACACACATCCGACAGCTACCACTTTGGATACTATGGAGACTGTGGAAGAGCCGTAACATACTCACCTTCCAACAGAAGCAGCAGCCATGGCCATATATACTCAGACTGGCGAGAGATGATGCCAATGAATGGATACAGGCAGAGGAGTATCTGGTCCGCTTGAATCCACAGAGCGACAATAACAGACCACAACATCAAAGAGGATGGATTCGACCAGCGCGACATTGGCTTAAATGCAACTATGATGCTTCCTTTACTAATGAAACTACAGATCCTCAAGCTGGATGGATTTTACGTGATAAAAATGGAGTTTATAAGGGCGGAAACCAAGCAAAAGGTGTCAAAGTTCAAAATGCTTTGGAGAGTGAATGTCAAGGTCTCATTCAAGCCATGCAACATTGCTGGATTCGCGGCTATAAGAGAATCATATTTGAAGGGCATTGTAAAGAGCTTACACAGATACTTAATGGGAGTTCTCTTAACTTTGGAGTACATAACTGGATCCGTGATATAAGGCACTAGAAGACCAAATTCGAAGAAGTCAAGTTTCAGTGGATTCAAAGGGTGAACAACAGAGCAGCAGATCAACTTTCAAAGAGCCCGATGCCAAGAAACTCAACTTTTCTTCATCATTTTTATGTACCCCATGTCTTAACTAATTTGTTACATGAAGACTATTGTATGGTACTACAACATTAATTTCCAATAACATCAGATGTTACAAAAAAAAAATGGTGAATCGGCTAGTAAACCATATTTCTTGTACAATTTCTTTAAACATGAAATTTTTTCATTATATCATAGTTTTTTTGCTTATATATCTATCCGTCATACAATGATCTATACTAATATTACTAGATTTAATCCGCGGTACACCGCGGGATAATTTATTTTTAAAGTTAGTATAAAAAAATATTTTGTAAATTGTATCTCGTTAAAATATTTATTTATATTATAGTTTACATTGTTATTAAGTAACGGTATACCACGAGTCCACGAGACAATTGTTAATAAACTGAAGATTTAACCCGTATTTAAGCGGTATGTTAATGATATTTATAAATATTGATTCAAATTCGTCCGCCATATAAACCCGTTCCGAAATATAACCTGTTCCGTAATTTCTTAAATCGTCCCGTGATTTGTTTTTACTATAAAATTTAATGATTATTTATTATATATAAAAGTTTACAAATCATATCATTCTCTAAGTCATTTATATTTTAATAAACTGAAGATTTAATTTGTATTAAAGAGGCATGTTAATGATATTTTAAAATTTTATAAATATTGATTCAAATCGTCCACCATATAACTTCGTTCCGAAATATAACCCACCCTGTAACTTCTTAACCCGTCCATGTGATTTGTTTTCTAAAAGTAGTAATTTTTAAAATTTAACGATTATTTATTATTTATAAAAGTTTGCAAATTGTACTATTTTCTAAGATATTTATATTTTATAGTTTACAATTGTTATTAAGTAACATTATACCACGGGATAATTTTTGGTTTTATACAATCTTTTCTAAATGAGATTCATTTAATATGTCTAATATTGGTGGTATTAAAAAAATGAAGGATTTAATTCGTATTAAAGCGGCGGATTAATGATATTCTAATCTTTTTATTATTGTTGATTCAAAAATCCGTCCCGCCAAATCCGTCCAGCCAAAAAACTCATTTATTTTATTAATGTTGATCTTATTTATGATATGATTCAGAATCATTGTCTAAATATTTTAATCTATGTAGAACGTTGAACACACATTTTCGTCAATTGGATAATATATATCCGTTTTTAAAATTTCGAATCACAATATATGCAGAAAAAATTGATTTTTTTTTTACTTTATGTATTTTATGAGGATTCAAAACAGTTAAAAACAAATTAAACAAAGATGATAGGAGAATCATAATTCTAAATCTTAATCGAATCTTCTAAATATCTAAATTATTAAATATGAAATATCCGGTGTATGAGTTGGGTTAAATATAACCCGACCAACAAACTTATTATGACCAAAATTTATAAACGAGTCGGGTATCTATCTGACTCAAAAATGACTACAAAAATACTAGTATAGATTCCAAGTTGGTCTCTAACAGAGCTTATGTAAAAAAAAAAAGGAATAGATAAAAATATAAAATTGAGAGGGCTCCAAGTGATATATATATATGAAAACTGCCAAAAGAATATTTGCAAGAACAATTTGGAAATGAATATTTTCACTCGGTATCATTTATATAGTTTTATTAATTATAAATATATTTATTTATTTAATCGGGTCTTCCAATCCAATTATTGTGATGTGACAATAAAAAATAATAATTATATATATATATATATACATTACATATTTATATATTTTGTATATATAATAATTAGTTTTATTATTATTATTCTAATATATAATTTATATATATATATTAAAATTAATATATGTATAGAAGATAAGTATATCTATAAGTTTGGTTAAATTTTTTTATTTTATTTACAAGGACATTTTATTTTGGTTGGAATTTTTCAGGTCTAAATGTTGATATTATATTTATTGTGAAAAACTAAATCCATTAAATTTGGAAGAAAAAATAGAATGTTTAAACTAATGTTTTTAAGGTATCAAACTTTGTTGATTTTCTTCTCCTTTTTTTGGGCAAACTAGAAATTTGTTAATTTTCAAGTCATATAAAATGGACTGACTTATATTCTAATTTGATGTGCAATAAAAAATATAAGCATTTATTATATAAAAAAATCGAAATAGTTAATTTGGTAGTAATAAAAGAAGTTAAGAATATCAAAATTTGATATTATAAGAAATTTAGGTTTGTTTGGTTAGTGGTTTAAAAAGTATATGGATAAAGAAAAAGTGTTTGGCAAATGTGATTGTAGAATTAAGAAAAAAAATCTAAGAAAAGTTGTTTTAGATTCTTGTTTCGAGATCTGTTGTAGATTTGGACACCTAGTTCAGTTCCGAGAAAAGAATTAGAAAACTAATGTGGTATTGGACACATGTTGCATGGAGACTTTGCAACGTTTTTTTTCTCGAATATTCATTGATCATCTCGATTCTCAATCATGCAGTGGCGGAGGCAACGTTCAAGGAAGGGTCAGTTGACCCCCATAAAATTTATAAATATTTTAATTATAGGATAAGTTTCCTTGGATAATTAGATATTTTGGTTTAAAATATTCATAATGACCCCTATGTCATATGATCAATTTTTGTTTTTGACTCCATGAATATTTATTTTGTCACTTAACCTTAATATCATTTCTATTTTTATATCTCCAAAAATCTATAATATCTTTTATTATAAAAAGATCTATAATACTCATTTACATATCAATTTTTTTCTTCCATTCAGACATATATCCTGTTTTTCCCTACATTCTATATTTTTTAAAAATATATATTTTCTAAAGGTTATGAATATAAACACAAAAACTAATCAATCTCTCCAATATTAATATATTGATTTTATAAAAATATAAAAATTAATTAAATATATTTATTTATATATATAATCTCTATAAACAAAATTTCTGGTTCCGCCACTACAATCATGTACCGAAAAGTAAACCATTTAATTTATCATGATTGTTTACTCTCTTTTTTCCATCAATCATGAGACTAAAAATATATTTTCTGATCGTTTACCCAATTCGAATGAGGATTAAGGTTACAAAAGAAGAAATTTAAATTTGTTGATCGTTATGGCTGAATGGACTAAATAATCACCTTTAAAGGCCATATAGCTTTGATATATTATTCCTTGAAAAACTGTTTTTTATTATTACACAAACACTTTTTCAATATATTTTTCATTTCTATTTTAAAGACAGCAAACGAAAATTACCACAACTTTATATGAGTTTTTAATTGGTAATTAAAAATAACATAATGACTTTGAACCCTGAAAACTTCTGACTTTGTGGTTCTCGTGATAATATTTTGTCCCAACGGTAAAGATAAATAGCATTGCACCACAACAAGTGTTGAGCATGCATATCTATTTACGCATATATTAACTCCAAGAGAAATAAAGATATTAAAAGAGTAGAGACAGAGAAAAAAAAAGAGAGAGACAAAGAAGTTGGCCATGGCAACGAAGTCAGTTTCTACCTTCGCCATCTATTTCATCCTCGTTTTGGTTATCTTTGGTAAATTAACTAACTCCATACTTCTCATATTTTTAAAAAATTTTGTGATTCATAGGGTTCCAGAGAGTATTTCTCTCGGGTATCAAAGCAAGTTTCGTTATATACATGTTTTTTTTATTTGCTTTAACCTATCTATATGCATGCAAATAAGCAGAAACGCCTGAGATAGAAGCGTATGATAGGAAGTGCCTGAAAGAATACGGCGGCGATGTGGGTTTCAGCTACTGTGCACCTCGAATATTCCCGACGTTCTGTGATCAGAACTGCCGTAAGAACAAGGGCGCGAAAGGTGGAATATGCCGTTGGGAAGAGAACAACGCTATTGGTGTTAAATGTTTATGCAACTTCTGCAGCGAGGAGCCTTCTTATAAGATTCTAAGTCGTATTTGAATCTTGCATGTGTCATGGTTTGTGTAACAACAAAGGTAAATGGTCCACGTAATAATATAATAATGAATAAGTGAAATAAAGAGTAACAAAATGCATCCTTTGACTAAATGGACTATAAGTGCGACTTCTCTTTCCCTCTTGAGTTTTGTTTTTTTATATACCAAATTTACACATGTCAATTGAAATAATCGATTCATAAACCAAGATAAACACTATCTTACAAGTGTTTCCAAGACTGCATATATCGGAAAATTGACCTAGTATTATCCTAGCTGTGACCCAATTGATGAAAATTAATACTAGATTGATTCAGCGTGCATAATTCAGAATTCTTAGGTAATGAAAATGTTATATAAAACCAAACGAAAAAAAAAAAGAACATAGCAGAAATTAAGAGACAAAGTAAGAGACCTCTTTGTTCCAGTTAGTGAAGTAGATGATTCCAGTCAATATCAGAGAAAGTATTTTTTATGACCTACTTTTTGTAGATCAGAAAGTGTCATATATGTTATAACATCTCCATAGGGGAAACAAGCTTTAATTTGCAGCATGTGTAAAGAGAAAACAGTGATTAGGAGTGGATCTACATATGAAATGCTTGCCAAGGCTAAGTTTTGGAAAGCATATTTTAGTATAAAATGATTTGACAATAATTACAAGAAATTACTTGGAGAAAATTTTTGTGAACTGTTGAAGTGTTTCAATGTCATTACTACACATTTTTCAGGTTCGAAGTATCCCACTTCCAATGTTGAAGAAATTTGCATCTTGTGATGATGAAACTGTGAAACAAATTGCTCAAAAAGTGCAAGGAAAATTTTAAGTATTGGGACTATTATAGCCTCTATATGGCCATGAGAACTAGTTTAGATTCAAGGATGAAATTACAAATGTTTGAAATGGCTTATAACTGAAAAGTGGATCGAGCTATTTCTAAGTTGAAAATTGAAGAGCTTAGAGAAATAGGACTACACTTTTATTTTCTAAATTTTCAAAAACTTTATTTTGCAAGCAACTCTTGGTAAATATGAATCCATTCTCTTGAGAGATTTGGTGAAGATTTCTATATTCATTTCTCTTATTCTCATTGCAATCTAATGATTTTTTTTTCAGTGATTTGTGTTGCTTCTTTTACCATGTGTGAGTAGCCTTTCAATTTGGTTATGAGATTCTAATTAACTAGGGAATTTGATGATTAAATGAATTAATCATTTGTTGAGATTCGCTATATATTGGTTCATTAATTCACAAGTTCTTAGTGTTAAAATCGGTATTATCATCTCGTTTTAGATCTTAGGATTTTGTATGCATTTAAAGTGGTTGATAGAATGACTAAACGAATTTGAATTAAGAAATGCAATTCTAGTCAACGAGAATTGATGCTAAAAAGTATTGTGAAAAAATGAAAGTTTAGTATGCATTATTTCTCTTGTTTAGTAATTAATTTCTTAAAAATTAAAGAGAATTAATCTATCTTGTGTTTCACTCTTCGGGAACGGTCATTCATTGTTGAGTTTTGATTTCGATGTTTCATTTAGTCATTGATCTCTGAATTACTTTGTCACTCAATGGTTTTAGTCTTATTATGTTATTCATTTGTTTTGTTGCGTTGGTTTATATTAACTCAAAACATAACAATTTTTAAGCTTTAGCTTGAAAATTCTATCAGAAATATCTAGTGTAACAATTTGGTCTTGGTGGATTCAACCCTACCACGTACACTTCCTTGTACACTTGTGGTTTAAGTTTTCCGGGATAAAATTTGAGCCATCAGTCAGATTTGAACATCAAAACCAATCAAGAAAAAGGAAGAGAAAGAATGATATCCTCGACTTTAGATATGCGAGGAGCCTCGCCAAGAAGGAAAGAACAGGAGGAGCCCAAACAATTTTAAAGGCTAAAGTGGTGATCTTAAGAGTTTGCCTTCCCTTGGTGATGTAGCATATGATTTAGTAGAATGAAGTCTTAGGGTTAGAGGAGTGGTTTTAGTCATGTGATCAACAGCTCTTATAACCTTAGATAATATATTATGTCTGCGATAAGGAATTGACATGTAATCCGGATAGAAGAAGGTCCTTGATAGACGTAAGGTTATATTTTTTATTCTAAATTCAAACTGTTTGCAGCATAAGTGCATAACGTATGTGATCCAGAACGAATGAAATGATCAGAACTTACATAAAAACCATTAGTGTTAGTACGTTATAAACATAACTTACAAATATTTATTTTGCTAAACCAAAATATATATTGATTTCAATAAAATATGTTAATAACCAAAACAAAACTAACTTTTTAGCATTAAAGTTAAGAAAAAAATGGATCTACATATTTTTAAAGACATAGGGTCTGATTGGCAAGTGCATTAGAATCTTTACAAATAAAAAAAAAATTTGCAAGTTTTGAAATACATCCCACCAAGCTTTAGAAACTTTGGTCTTCCTCAGCCAAAATATTTCCTTAATTCATTTTTTTTTTGCTGTAGAAAACTTTTTTTCTAAAGCATATAATTTTCAACTTTCAAAAATTTTAAATTCTAAAGCCAAAATAGTACATCAATAAAATATACAGCCACAACAAATAAATCTAGAGTCATATTTCTATAACTAAAAATGTAAAGGTACATCTGTTACCAGTCGTCCATAACATACATATTTTTTAAGTTTTTATTTTCCTTATCAATTTTTTCGGAAGAAGAATTCTCTAGACGAATGCCATTAATTTGAAAGATTGCTCGTTGGGCACCAGTAGGTACAATATTATTAAGGTGGTCCGTGAAGGATCTGGCAGAGATTGTGTAAAATTGCTTAAAGTATGGCCTAGTGTAACTACTCATCATAGAGCATTAAATAAATGAAGTTTCTAGTGGCATATTGTAGAGCAACTAGCTAGTATTTAAGCGAGTCTAGTTTCATCAACATTTCATCAACAAACAAGCTTAAGTGTTTCCACTATATACTTTTTCGATCACAGAAGAAATTAATCAAAAGATGGAATACAAAAATGTGATTTTAAGTGTGTTCATAATGAGTTTGGTCTTGGCGCAAATTCAAGTAGAAGCAAGGGTTTGAGGTCTCTATGCTGTCTGTCGTATAGCGGGAGGCCTTGAGAAAGTATGTGCAGATGGCAGTGGCGGCAAAATAACTTCTGGGAGATGTCCTCCAGGTTATTACAATGATATTCTAACAAATTCGGGTATATTCAACTTGTTATTAAGTTAAATTTGCTATAAGATATATATAGATGGAAATTTCATTTTTGATGCATGTATTTTTGCATGGATTATAATTTTTTTTTTTTGATAAACCCTATCGGATGATCCGGTCAACCCCGGTAGAAACGCACCGAAGTGCTTCAGAGTGGACTTCTCTCCGAAGGGCCACCACACTGTGTGTCCCGAGTTTGGGATGCTTTCTGACTAATGTCAAGGGGTTGCCAGATCGCCTGTTACTGGACTACCAGGTAAACTGCTTGGGAGTTTGGCCCAAGCCCAAACTTCCCACAAATGTGTTTTTTTTTTGTTTCCAACGTGGATCGAACCTGAGTTAGTTCTTTCAAACCTTTCCCCAATTCTCAACAACCACTGGACCACAGCTGGGTGGGCCATGGATTATAATTTGTGACTTAAGGTGATGCTATCAATGAATATTGCAACTTGGGGTGTGCATCCTCTATGTGTGGTGCCTTAACCACTCTCCAGAACTCTGGTAAAGCAAATTGAATTCCCCAAACTTATTATATATATTTATCATTTATTTTTGGAATATATATAGTAAACAATAGAAAAATCCATTAAATGATTTCTTATATTTTTTTTTTTGGGTGACTAGGCGCAAGTGAAATTGTAAATGAAGCGGTTGAAAAATGCACCAAGGCATGTTCTACTCTCTGCACCAAAGGTTTTACTACTGCAGTTGAAACTGCCTAAACAAGCATATCCGTATGGTGATACTACATCCAAGTTTGAGTGTGTTCATTGTTTTCCCGTTTTCACTTATTATCGTCTATGGGCATGTTTGTTTGTTAATGACAGCGATAGCGATAGCGACTCCGACGAAGGCAAAAAATATAACGGAGATAAAAAAACAGTCGCTCAATATGGACGTCGGCGACGTCAATAGTGAAGATGTTGAGTTGCTGTTATTTTTAGTGACACGTGTATATGCTACTTCCGGTTTGTGTATGTGTCGTAGGAGATTATCGGTCCCAAGATTGTGTAACGAATTCTACTTGCTCTTATATAAATAAAAGATTATTTCCAGTTATGTGTTCTTCTTCTCTAGGGAAAACGGTCTATTTCCCCACAAAAACTATCACATCATAATAGATAGAGCCCAAACTATAACCTCGTGCTAGATATCCATGAAAAAATACTTGGCATCCTAAATCTCTCCGACTTCAAAGTTCGAAATCGCAAAACCCATATATATTGGTTTGACTGGTTTATGACTTAAACCGATATCAAACCCACCTCAAACCAAGCAAACCCGAAATTGTAACCTTGTTACGTCACCAACATCGGAATTGTGACCGGAGAAGACGAAGAGAAACCACTGTCACGCCATCAAGATCGTCCTCGCATCATCCCTAATCCTAAAAACCGGATCCCTAAATCTCCATCTCAACAGGTTCAAATAACAGCCGACGACTTCTTAATTGAATCTGAATTCTCTCTCTGTTAAGAAGAGATGATTTGCTCATGGTCGCCTTCGTAACCGGAGCCAAGCTACCGCCGTCTTCAAGTCCAAGCAAACATCAACCGCAATGGCCTAATCAGAGTTTGAGTTTCGTGAAAGCCAAATTGTAGATGGGTTTCTCATTATTGTCGTTAATTGTTCTTGATTTTGAGTATCAAGCTCTCATGTAAAGTGAATCGATTTTGTTTTGGGTGATGTCACAGATTGTAGAAGAAGTGCGAATCCAAAAGAAAAAAGAATTAAAAAATTGCTTGATTCTAAATTTGTCTAATCCAAAGATTAGATTTTGCTCTTGAAAACACAATTGCAGAGAAGTGCAAGTTGACACAAATTGCAGAGTGCAAAGCTTTTATAAAAACTCAATTCAAAGATTAGATTTTGTTAGATAAAACATTCACACCATAATTTGTAAAGCTTTCATGAATCGCTGTTTGAGAATAGCACTACAGTTTAACCAAATTTAAACATTAGATTTTGCAATTGTAATATTGAGAAATCTAATCTTTGAATTGAGTTGAATCAAATGGTAAAAATTCCATCGAGATATGAATCTCATCGTCACCAAAATCTCAACAATCAAAAAGTGAATCAGAATCAGAGGAGGAAATCAAATGAGAGTGGCCGGCCAAAATCCCACGGTAAAAGGAGGCGTTGTCGCTCCGGCCAAGCTCCGAAGAAAATATGGTGAACCAAAAAGAAATTGGTTTGGTTAAGAGATTTTGTTGTTGTAATTGGTTTACATCCGGTTTACTATAGTATTTAGGTGGTTAATAATTGTTTGGTAAACAATAAACCGAAATTAGTGGGTGATGAGATTTCGAACTATGATTTCGGGGAGATATAAGTTTCGAACTTTGAATTCGAAGAGATTTAGGATGCGAAGTATTTTTTCATAGATATCTAGCACGAGGTTATAGTTTGGGCTCTATCTATTATGATGTGATAGTTTTCGTGGGGAAATAGACCGTTTTCCCTCTTCTCTACTGTTATCAAAATATTCTTTTGTTTTAACATACTTGTCTTATATCAGCTCATGACAACTTAGTAAAATCACGTTTTTCGAGTTAAAATCAGGAAAAAAAAATACAGAATTAAGATTTTGGCAAAAACGTGGAATTGATAGTTTAAGAAAAAACGTTGAATCGAGTTTTAATTTTAGCGGGACAATCACAAAATCTTGTTTATGATGGGAAAAACATGGGATTACGTTTTTGGTTGAAAATGTACGTAAATTCAGAAGATCGCGCTTTGCTACTATTCAAGAATATAAAGTCCATTTTACGAATTTCGTTTTCAAATCGCTTTGCCAATCCTGGACTATATCACTTTGCCAATCCCAAAAATTTGTTTATTTTTGGAAATTTTTCTTACTGCAAATAGAAAAGATTTTCTTCTTAAAGAACAAAAGTAGTTGTAAAAATAAATGTATTTCCAAAAAATAAAATTAGAATGAGGAAAAAAAAGTTAAAAAACCGTTTGTTCGGTTTTCAATTCTTCTGTTTAGGGGAAAGTTTGCCCAAAAAAACATAAAACAGTTTCAGTCCGGTTCGACAATCGGTTAGCTTGGTTCGGTTCTTAGGCTATTTACTAGATGGTATCTTAATATCTTTGGTGAAGGACTTTAAAAAGAAAACAATATTCGGATTCAGTTAAACTAAATGAACATAAACATTGGATCAACAAGCACATGAAGATCAAGTCTCATAGTTCAGTTAATCAAGAAGTTTGGCTTATAGTAACCATCCTAGATCTAAAATAAGACTAAAACTAACAAACCCCTCTAACAACCACAGAAAGAGAGACTCGTTAACCATATCGAATAAAACAAAAAGAACCGAGAAATGATTTTCTCAACATTGAACTTTGACAAACAAAAAATCCAGAACTGATGATCCAGGTTCCACGAAGAGTTGATCACTCCCGCGCTGTTCCTCCCCATCTCTGAACCCGACTCTCGGCTTGCTCGGCCTGTAGAATTCAGAATTCATAGCTAATGAAATGATCAAACCAACACACAAAATGAGGAACATAGCAGAAATCAAGAGACGAAGTAAGAGACCTCTTTGTTCCAGTTAGTGAAGTAGATGATTCCAATCAATATAAGTGTCTGCAAGCAGATTCCAGCTACCATACCTCCCCATATTCCCTACAAAATTTATAAATGCATTAACACCAAAATTGATCAAACAATGAAAATACAAATGGGGTGGTGCAGACCGTGCAGTTGTACGCATGCATGCCGGGGGTTAAATCAAACTTTCCCCTGAATTCGACTGGTTTATCATGTTCGTAAAAAGCTAACCTGAACGCCGAGGTCTAGTGTGAATCCAAGAACAAGACCAGCAGGAAGTCCGATAATGTAATAACACGCAATGTTCACGTATGCAACTAGAGCCTGCCAACCAGCTCCAACAGCAACCCCTAAAATGATGTACCAAAAGTGATCACAACTCAATGTTTTGTGATCCTAAATTGCTTTTTGATTATCAGTCATAATGAGATACCTGACAAGACGGGCTGGAGGCTGTTCAAGAGGACAGTGAAGCCCAACAAGACAGCTATTCTCGTGGTTTCCGCTGCCACAGCTTCGCTTGAAGTGAAAAGATAAGGGAAGCTATCTTTTGTGGCTAAGACAACAATCATGCACACAACCCCGATAAGAGTTGAAGTTATGGAGACAACTATCACTGAGAATTTCGCTAAAGCTGCATTTCCCGCACCCAGCTCGTTCGATACCCTCACACTGATTACACCAAGAGACAAAGTTCACCAGTTCATGAGAGTTTAATTAGCTTTCATAATGTTGGCTCTAGAAAAACAAAATGAAACAAAAATGTAGAAAACTTACCTTATCGCAGCGTTAAACCCGATCGAAATCATCGCGGTCCACCCTTCTATGTTCATGCTGTGAAACCCAAAACATAAAACAGGTTACTAAACAAACCTATTTTCAATCAGAAACTAACAGGGATCAGCACAAGTCAATTACCAAATGGAGATGGCATCGACTGGTATCAACGGGTTAGGAAGGAGACCGGTAACAACAACCAGAACCATCAAGTACCAAAATTCCAAGCTGCAGAATTTGAAGAGCAGAACCATCATTACAATCAAATTTTAGCTTACATAAGTCAAAAGCTATCTACTAGCAAAAAAATGGAATGGTACCAAAGCATAAGAGCAGAGGCTAAGGAAAGTTTGACAAATCCGTAGAGGTCCCGAAACGCCAGCATAGAAAATCCAGTCCACGCACCGTCTGATTTGGTGATTAGTATATATAAAAGCTGACCGATAACAATCAACCACCACGAGGTATTGAGAGTGATGGCTGCACCTACAAGTCCCCACTTAAAGTAAAGAATGAAGAGCCAGCTAAACACTGCGTGTATAACTAAAACCACTGCAGAGATCCATGCCATCACAAGCACTTTCCTCTGCGACTGCAAGAATTTCTGTATCGGGAAGTTGGCTGCATAGGCAAATAGTTGTGGAATCATCCACAATGCGAATTTCCCTGTAAATTTAAAACTTCAAAAGAGTTAACATGTAGAAGTTGTGAACATATCATAGACTTCCATCTCAAAACCAATTGGCAGAAAAGAATAACAAGAATGATACCTGCGGCTTTAGAGATGTGAGGAGCCTCGCCGAAGAAGGAAAGAATAGGAGGAGCCCAAATGTAAACGGGAAGCAAACATAAAGCAGTGGTAAAGAGAATGACCCACGAACGCTGCATATATATTCCCATCATCCTAATCTGTCCCGCGCCATATGCTTGTCCGCACAACGTCTCCAATGCACTCCCCATCCCTAACTGCCACCATTTTCAATCACCACAATATTGAAGTTGCTAGTATTGTTTCATCTATTAGCATTTTCCATAAGAAAAATAACAATGACTAGGGAATGATAAGATATTGTATCACTACTACTAACATATCATTGCTACTGGTTCATGACAAGCAACATATCGCACATATACCAAAAGTTGAAGCGATATGAAATTTTGTAACCATCTCTAAGTTTTTTATACTATCCTAAACATTTTTAAATGTCATTGCTATCTATTGACTACTGTAAACTAAACTTGATATATAATCTTGTTTTATTAAAGGTGCTAAATTGCTAGAGTAGTGTAGACAAAAATAAGTATATACTATTGGTCTAAATATATACTATTGAATTTATTAATTCATAGAATTTCTTATTTTTTGGTGATAGGCTGGAAAATCGAAAGTTAAATGAAATAAATTAAACCAAAAACATGTGGTAACGGAAGTGAAATGTGTCTAGCGCCGGAGGGAAAGAAAAGGGATGGTCCCAAGTTTGGCACAAGTTTCCATTGCAATCACATTTTCTTATTTCGTTATAGAGATTTATTTTTTTATATTAAATGTATTTTCTATAGGAGTAAATGAGTGGAGTATATTTTTTAATATTTTTTAAAATATATAAGTAAGTAAAACAATTTTCACTATTAAAAAAAAAACTAAAATCCTTAAACAACTTAACGAGTCCAAGAGAAACTATTTTTGTTGCAAAAATGACTAAGTGTACATTAAAGTTTA